GGCAGGCAGGGGGCAGCGCTTGGTCCTGCTGGTGGCTTGTTGGGCCCAGCCGGGGATCCTGCCCACGGGTGGGGGGCGGAGGCCGATGCAGCGACTGACTGGCTCTGGGTCTGTCCCTGGTCCCTGCAGAGGTACGTCTGGTTTAACATCGGCAGCGTCGACACGTTTGAACGGAACCTGGAGACCGCCCAGCTGGAGCTGGGAATGGAAGGCTCCCAGCAGGTGGCAGTGTTTTACACCAGGGAGAGTGACGGGTGAGTGCCAGCGGGGGGAGCGGCTGGCTGCGTGTGCTCTACTGCACCATTGCTGCCCTGTGACGCTGGCTTGTGCTTCTCTCCACTCCCAGCACATTCCTCATGAGCATGGTGCCCATTCTGCTGCTGGTTGGCTTCCTTATGTTCACTCTGAGACGCGGGCCAATGGGAGCCGGGCGCGGAGGACGAGGGGGCGGGCTCTTCAGCGTTGGCAAGACGACGGCCAAGATCCTGAAAGACAACACTGACGTGCAGTTCCGAGACGTGGCCGGCTGCGAGGAAGCCAAGCTGGAGATCATGGAGTTCGTGAACTTCCTGAAGAACCCCAAACAATACCAAGACCTGGGCGCCAAGATCCCAAAGGTGCCATCTCAGAGGGAGGGGTGGCTGGGACCCTCAGCTGAGCAGTTGGAGCGCTGTCCTGGGCAGTTTGGAGCGCTGTCCTCTGAGCAGTCCAGGTCCCTGAGCGGAGCTTTGTGACTAACGGAGAAAAGAGCGAGGAAAGGTGGGCCCAGCGACCGGCAGAGGGCAGCTCGCCCGACCCGTGCTGTGTCCCAGGCCTGAGCCGTGCTGAGCAAGTAACTCAGCCTACCAGACGGGTTCCCTTGCTGCAGACAGTAGGGCATGGTGCGGAGAGGGGTGCTGTGTGCACGGCACCGCAGGGGGCGCGGACGCTTTCACAACTGTGCAGTGGGGACGCTCGTGTTACAAGCTGCCCAGATTCCAGCGCTTTGCAGTGCTTCTGGCCACTTGCGCATTTAGTCACTTCTCTTTCCCCCCGGGATGTATATTAGTTATCATGGGGACGATGATGTCATTGGTGTGGGCAGGGCTTAGTGACACCTGTAAGTGCTGGTGAATGTGATATTTTGAGGTGTAGGAGGCACCAGGGTGTGTGCAGTGCAAGGCGTGGGGTGTGTCCCCCCCCTACATGGGGAAGGGGAGGTGTAGCAGGCGCCTGTGCACACACGTACACACAGACTGCCTCGCTAATGCCGCGGTTCCACTCGGGCCCTGTGGCTCGGCGCTGTCTGGTGATACTGGAGCCCTGTGTGCTGGCCGTGCTGGACTCTCCCGACACGCTGCCAGGCTCTGTCCCTGTCCTGCGGGCCAGGCCTGCTATGAAAGTGATTCTAATGGAGGCTGCTGGGAGGGACCCAGTCCCCAGACATGCCCGGAGCCACCGGGTGACAGGGCGCTTGGAGCAGCCTAGCCGGCGTTGCTGGCAGCAGGTTTCTGACCGTCAGTCCTGCCGATGGCCCCATGCTAGCGCTAGTCTCCGTTATCTCTGCTGCAGGGTGCTGTGCTCATGGGCCCGCCGGGCACCGGGAAAACCCTCCTGGCCAAAGCGACGGCGGGAGAAGCCAACGTTCCCTTCATCACGGTGAACGGCTCGGAGTTCCTGGAGATGTTTGTGGGCGTGGGGCCCTCCCGGGTAAGTCCGTGGCAGCGAGGCTCATGAGGGCTCCCCAGAATGTTGTGCCTCTGGGGGGGGGGGGCGCGAGTCCCTTCTGAGGGGGTCATCTCTGGTGCTGGAGCTAGACGGGGGTGGCTCTAGCTGCCACGAGAGCCTGGGGAGCAGTGGGTCTCCCGGACGGTGGGCGGGACAGGCGGGGAGCCGGGCTCCAGATTCTCTTCCAGTACTGGCTCGTGTGAGCCCCCTCGGCTCGTTGGTGCTGCATGCACTGCACAGGCTGCTGGGCCGGGGCTGTGGCAGGTCTCTGCAGGCCCTGCCTGGAGCCCCTGGGAGGGGTTAGCCTGGTGCTGTTGTCTTCCTCCCATCTCAGCCCTGGCGGGAGTGCCCCAAACCAGTCGCTCCTTCTCTGCGGACAATGGTGCTGAGAGGATGACTGGCTCTGCAGAGCCCCTGCTGAGTCCCATCCCTGCGGAAGGGCAGTGGCCAGTGGGGGCCTGTCCGGAGCCTTGGAACCCCTGCGACCCATTGCGTGTGGCTGTTTCAGGTTCGGGACATGTTTGCCTTGGCCCGCAAACACGCCCCCTGCATCCTGTTCATCGATGAGATCGACGCCGTCGGCCGGAAGCGGGGCCAGGGGAACTTCGGGGGGCAGAGCGAGCAGGAGAACACCCTGAACCAGCTGCTGGTCGAAATGGACGGTGAGTGAGCAGAGAATCCTAGAATCTCAGGGTTGGAAGAGGCCTCAGGGGGTATCTAGTCCAACCCCCTGCTCCAAGCAGGGCCAACCCCAACTAAAGCAGCCTGCGGCAGGGCATCAGGGTGCTCCTTAGAAACTCGGGTGCTGCACGGCTGCTCAGAGCCTGGGTAGTGGCTTATGCTCAAAGCTAGTGAAAACAGAAGGTCTGGCTTGAGCAGTGGAATCTGTCTGGCCTTCTGGGCCCACACAGGGTAACAGCTGTGAGCCCCTCAGAGCCTGCTGGGAAGTCCAGGCCCTCCCAGTCTCCTGTGCATTTTGCTTTCTCCCCCCGCCGATACCTGTGTGACCTCCTCCCACTCTGTTTAGGGTTCAACTCCAGCATCAACGTGGTGGTGCTCGCAGGAACAAATCGCCCAGACATTCTGGACCCTGCGCTGCTGAGACGGGGGCGCTTTGACCGTCAGATTTACATCGGTAATGCCTGCCACGCCTAACCCCGGCAGATTCTGCCCTCCTCCCTTGCTCCCCAGCCGAGACTTGATCATTAGCGGTAGAGAAAAGAACGTCCTGCCCTACCGCTGCTAACGCTGCCTTCGGAAAGCCGGGGACCGGCGGCTGAGCCAGTGAGTGTGGGGTGGGGAGATCTGGTGCCTCGCCTGGCGTAGGGAGCCTGCTGTCCGGGGGAGCAAATTGAATTTCCCCCAGCTTGGCTGGAAGTTGCAGTATCATCTGGCCTCTGTATAAACATGGAGTTCCATGATAGTTGCAAGGAGTGGGGGGAGCCCAGCGGGGGTTAATGTGAAGCGGGCAGGGCTGGAAGCAAGACCAGCCCGGGCTTGATAGATCTGCAGGCCCCTGTGGTGGGGTGTGAGAGATCCCAGTGCCAAAGGTGGGCATTAGCAACACTGGTGCCACCTTGGCTCATACGCTGCATGGGTCTCTGGACAGCGGCTTGTGGGACTGGGTGCTCTAGCTGTCCTCGGGCAGCTGCTGTTGTAAACAGGCCTTTGCCACTAGGCAGCCCAGCCTGGCAAGTGTCACTGGGGGCGTTCTGTGCACCTTCAAGTCCCCCAGCCGTTTCCGAGTGATCCTGGCTGTGTGCTGTCGCTGTGGGGCTGTTATGCAGCTGCTGCATTCCCCGTCCGTGGGGTCTCTGCAGCGATCTCTGCACGTTGTGCGACGGGAGGTGCTCTGGATACAGGCATCGCTGTCCTTGCAGGGAAACGGACACTTCCCGGCGGTTGATTGTAAATAAAGATGGCTGTGAGCGTTCTCTCCAGTAACAACCTGGGGCAGAAAAGGCCCCTGATCTAGTGAGTCCAGTGTGGCGAGGATACCAGTGTGGTGAGGAGAAGACGTCCCTGTGGAGAGCTTGTTTGGCAGTAGGAGCCCTGCATTATTCATTTCTGAAACAGCCTCTCTGACTCTGTTCCTGCCCAGGTCCGCCTGATATCAAAGGCAGAGCATCCATCTTTAAGGTCCACCTCTGGCCCCTGAAACTGGAGGAAAGCATCAGCAGAGATGCCCTGGCTAGGAAATTGGCTGCATGGACTCCAGGATTCACTGGTGTGTGGCAGGGAAATACCAAGCGGGAGGAGGCGTGGGGGAGGGAGCTGTAGCAATTGGCTGCGCTGCTGTGAGACAGCTCGGGGGTGGGAGGACAGATGCCAAGGGGCTCTGGAAGTACCTAGACAGAGCAGCTGTGAGCCCCCTGCCGTTATGGACAGGTCCGGAAATGGTAATGAGCAGCACAGTAAATATTCACTGCAGCCTTCCAGCCCCTGCAGGGTTCACTGGAGTCGCTGCTTTCCTCTCCGTCTCTGCTGCCGAGGGCTGAGTTAGCGCGTCAGCGTGCCGCCCCCGTGGCGGAAGGCAGCCAGGCCTCGCTCTGCTCTGCAGGACGGCAGAGGGATCCCAATGCTGCCCCACATTCTCTCGGTCTTTGCCCCGTTTCGGCTGTGAATGGGACCGTCCCCACTCACTGGTCCTTCCCCAGCGGGGTGTGACCTGTGCACACAGGCGGGAACGAGAAAGCTGCGGTGCTGCTAGGCCAGAGGACTTGCCTCTGCTATTCCTGAGCTGTGTTCATATGCACCACTCTGTACAGAGCGCCCCCCTCTGGATGCTCGAGGGAGGGCAAATGTCAGCAGCTCTTAGACTGCAGGGCATGGGAAGATCACTGGCTGGGGTCAGGAAGGAAGCCCCTTCCCCAGGAATAGCACTGTGCAGTCAGGTGTGCTTTGTGGGGATTGGAGCCGGGATACCTGAGCAGAGGGACCTTGATCTGCCTGGCGGGTCCTGCTGCTGGAATTGTGCTGGGAGGGCGGCGGGAGCCTGTTAGCCTGGCGGGGGAGGGCAACTCTGCAGGCGCCAGCGAGGTGGGTGACTGAGGAGTTCAGCGCCCTCTCTCTGAGGGGATTTGTGGTACAGCCGGGGATTCAGCCAAGCCCCATGTTCCGAGTGCCTCCTGTGCCCAGGAGCCCAAGCACTGCACCGGCGCCGGGTTCACTGCGCGACACCCAGAGCCCACGCAGCCTGGGGGACGCTGGTCAGCTCCTTTGGCGCCCCGTGCCGCAGAGGTAGCGCTCGCCCTGCTGGCCGTGGCTGGGGGGCGCTCGAACTGCCTCGGCTGATCCGGGCTCTTGACGTGTGCATGGGGACTAGGCTGATGGCGTGGCCCTCCTGTCCATAGGTGCTGACATCTCCAACGTCTGCAATGAGGCTGCCTTGATTGCCGCTCGCCACTTGAAGCCCTCTATCACCGAGAAGCACTTTGAGCAGGCCATCGAGAGAGTCATCGGGGGTGAGGCCAGCTCGGAGCTCTGCTGGGGGGCGCGGCTGCAGGGGGTTCTGGGAACCACGCAGGGCGTGGCTGGCTGCTGCAGTTTGCTTTGGCCCCGCGCACAGCCCAGACTGCTCGGCTGCTAGAGCACAGACTGACAGAAGGCTCAGGGCTCCTGCTGAGGCTGCCGGACGATGCACTAGGCAGCGTGGGGTTCTCCAGGGCCCTGGGGCTCAGCCCAGGCTCACCTGCTGGTCGGGCCCTGCTCCCAGCTGAGGGGAAGGAAGAGTCTTGGGGAGATGCCCAGGCACTTCTCCTAGGGGCCGTTACAGTGGGGGAGCCGCCTCTGGGGCTGTCAGGAAGGCGACTCTGTGTCCCCTGTACTCGGCTTAGGGGTGATAGGCCCCCCTCCCACACCCACACACAGCCTAGGAGCTAAGCTGAGCACACTCCTGCTAGCCTGAGAATGCAATGGGTGGGTCCCTGCAGGGCGAGGGGAGCGGCTGCAGAGCTTCCCAGGCGTGGGCCGAAGAGCCGCGTGCTCCCTGGGGAGTCTCAGCCAAGCGGCTGCAGCTGCTGGAGGAGGCTGGGGAGCTGGAATGAAAAGCACCGCGTTTTCCCCAGGGGATGGGAAGCAGCAGGGCTGCTGAGCCGTGTGCAAACCCCAGTGCTGCCCCCCTAGCCCGCTGAGCTAACGGTCGTGCAGCTCTTGGGCCTGCAGCGGCTTGGAGCAGCGATGCCAGCCATCCTGATGGGCTCGTCTCGCTCCGCTCCACAGCTTGGCCCAGCCCCGCAGAAGAGGTGCTCGTGAGCACTAACGTTCCAGGTCCCTTCCTGCGCTCCTAGTCTTCCCGTCCTCCCACGCGGCCGGGGGTGTGCAGGGCTTCCTTGTCTCCCTCCTGTGGCCCCTCCAATCAGCACAGCATCAGCTTACCTCCCCGGCAGCGCTGTGAGCTCCTAACCCCTGAGCTTGTGTTCTAGAAACCCACCGCACGGAGCTGGGCAGCTCCCATGGCCAGGCACATCCCTCTAGGGGGCCAATACCGCCCCCGAGCCTAAAGAGCAGGCTGGGCCTTGGGAATCGTCCCTAGCCAGCGAGCCAAGGCCCCAGGTGCTGTCCCTGGCTCGGAAAGGAGGGGAGTGGGGTTCTCCCTGCTGGGTGTTGTGGACACCGCTGGGTTTGTTTCACTGGGCCAGGGGGGCTTTCTGGCTCCCACTATGGGGTCCGGTACCTCGGCTCCCCATGAGTGCCACTGACTCTCCCGAACCTGTGTCCAGGTCTCGAGAAGAAGACCCAGGTTCTGCAGCCGAACGAGAGGACCATAGTGGCCTATCACGAAGCTGGGCATGCTGTGGTGGGATGGTTCCTGGAGCACGCTGATCCCCTGCTGAAGGTTTGTGTCTAGTCTGTTCCCCCTTCCCAGTGGCAGCCTGACGGGACTTTCCCATTGCCTGGCGGATCTGGAACTTCACAACATGTCCTCCCCAAGCGTGACTGGCGAGGGGCTCGGGTCAGGATGAGGAGCCAGCAGCTGGCGGGGGGCTCTGGATTATACCCTCGGGGCCAGACAGCCGTGGAGGCTGTTGAACATTTCTGTTTCGGTTGTACCTCAGGCCACCCTGCCCTGGAGGAGAGCACCCCTGGGTGCTGGGCACCACACAGGCAGCGTTCCGGGCCCCTCCCTTGCCCTGACTGTCTGCCGGGCTGTTCTGCAAAGAGCATGCTTGCGCTCAGGCCCCGTTCTGGCCAGCTCTGGCGTCTCCGGATAAAAGCCGAGCCCCAGGGGTGCTCCCAGCATGCTGGCCAACATTCCCTCTCGCAGGCAGATTCTAGAATCCGGGAGCCGTGGCGGAGGGGCCAGTCTGTCACCAGGTGTCTCGTGTCTTTCAGGTGTCGATCATCCCCAGGGGCAAGGGGTTGGGCTACGCACAGTACCTGCCCAAGGAGCAGTACCTGTACACCAAGGAGCAGCTGTTCGATCGCATGTGCATGATGCTGGGCGGCAGGGTAGCTGAGCAGCTGTTCTTTGGGCGCATCACCACGGGCGCTCAGGACGACTTGAAGAAGGTGACGCAGAGCGCCTACGCCCAGGTAATGCCCAGAGCAAGGAGCGTGTGGCTGGCACCGTGCTGCCAGGTGTCTCTGCCCGGGGGATGGGAACGGCTCAGCTCGTCCCCTGGGCGCTAGCCGGCTTAGTAGGGCTGCTCTCTTCCAGATCGTCCAGTTTGGGATGAGTGACAAGCTGGGCCAGGTCTCCTTCGACTTCCTGTGGCAGGGTGAGCCGCTCACAGAGAAACCATACAGCGAGGCGACAGCCCAGCTGATAGACGAGGAGGTCCGAAGCCTCATCAACTCTGCATACGAAAGAACCCGGGAGCTACTGACGCGGTGTCGCGACCAGGTGGAGAAAGTACGTGAACGGGCCCTGGTCCGTGCCCCAGCAGGAGCCAACCCAGGGGCCTCTGGTGGCCCAGTTGCACTATCAGCAGCTGGATGGTTAGCTCCTCCCACACTGGCATGGGACACCCGGAGGGGAGGGGAGAGGAAGAGACTGGTCTGTCTGTCACCCTGACGCACAGCATGCTGGAGCATTTGCCTGTAGGGAAGTGTGCGCCGTGCGGCAGGGAACGTGCAGAGGCTGGAGGGCTGAGGAATCGGGCTGTGATGATTTTATTTTCCCCACAGGTAGGAAAGCGTCTCTTGGAGAAAGAAGTGCTGGAGAAAGCGGACATGGTTGAATTGCTGGGCCCCAGGCCCTTTGCAGAGAAATCCACCTATGAAGCGTTTGTAGAGGGCACCGGGAGCTTGGACGAAGACACCTCCCTCCCAGAGAGCCTGAAGGACTGGAACTGCGAGAGAGATGAGGAGAGAGCGCAGGAGAGCACCTCCTAGCAGTGAGAGCCAGCTGGGGAGGACGGTGCCCGAGCTGCTGCCAGCCCTTGCCGCTGGGTGGGCGCCGGTCCCCAGGGACCCTTTCTGTGTGCATCTCCCGGTGGTAATGCCGACACCGGACAGAGCTGTCCAGGAGGCCGGAGCAGGAGCGAGGCTAAGTCTGTAAATAGGAACTAGCAGGCAAGGCCCCTGGTGCACTGGCTTTCCCTCTGAAAGCTGCAGGTCCCGCCCTCTCCTCTCCTCTCCCCGGTGCCAGCCTCGGGCCTGGCTGGCTGACACAAGGGCTCCGGCCGCACCCGGTCCCGACAAGTGCCCGTTCCTACTGGCGGGTACAGCAGCTGCTTTCCTGGTGCTCATGGCCCAGTCTCCATGGGCCTGTTCAGTCTGTGCAGGGTGGATGGGGCGTGCTCCTGCCCGCATCCACCTCTCCCCAGCAGCTGTCCCAAAGCCAGGAGGGTGCTGGAGGGACTCCCCAGCCACGGGGCGGAGGCTGGGAGCCCAAGCAAGCAGCAGGGTGAGCTCTCCTCGGACTAGCGACTCTGTCCAGGATGCGGTTACCCTAGTGCTACCACAGCATCCTCCCCGACTGGAACGCCCTCCCCAGCACAGCCAGCTCGGCACGAAGGGGGACAAGGATCGCAAGCCATGTCCCACAGTTCCCTGGGGCGTGAAAAGAGCCAATGCCAAAGCTTTTCCCCTCCTCTCCAGGCGGAGGGGAGGGTGCGCAGACGGGGGAAGATCCTCCCCTGCGAGTTCCTGTCCTCAGTGCCTTCCAGCGAAGTCCTGCTTTGCCCTCGGCTCCCTGTGCATAGCAGTGTCTGAGCGAGGACAGCGGTCTAGGAGACGAGGCAGAACCAGTCCAAAGAGCCCTTCAGAGCAGCGGCCGCGCGCTCCTGGTAGAAAGAGCCAGCCTGTGGGCAGTCCCTGCAGCGCTACGCTGGGAAATGCCCCCCTTCGCCCAAGGCAACGGGCGCTGGGGAGCCGAGAGTGTGGTGGAAATGGGCTAACAAAATGGTGCTAATGAAGTGACGCTGCCGTGGGCTCTGACCCCTGGCCTGGCTGGCCCGCCCGGTCGGACGTTGGCAGGAGTCACTCTGGCCCTGTAGGACTCAGTGAGTCGTGGGGCAGTGTGGGGTGCTGGTAGCCGGAAGCTCCCCCAGCTCTGACCCCTGTTCTGGGGCGTGCGAGTTCCTGGGGGCCTGGCTGTGGGTCTCTTGGCCTGGGGTGTCTTTATGGCACCTCTAGCCGTGTTGCTGTTGGCCCAGCTGTGTCCTGGGTTAGCTCCTCTCTCCGGGCGGGGCGTTCCTAGCTCAGGCCGATGGGGGGCGGGGGGAGGGAGGCCTCGCTTCTAAAAGCTGAGACGTGGATTTCTTCCTTGCATCGAGCCTGTGCCCTGCCCTTCCCTTGTGCCCAGGGCGAGGGGTTCGCCTGCCTTGCGGGCACCCTCGTTCCATGCTCTGGCATGGCGGAGCTTTGCGTTTGGGCCCCGTGCAGCATCCCGCCAAAGGGCATTTCTCTGTGCCCAGCCCTCTGCCCATGGGCTCCCGAGTAAGCAGCATTCATGCTGCAGGGGCTGTGAGGGGAGGGGCATCTGCAGCAAGCCCAGACCACCCCCCCCCCCCAGTGCAGTTCAGAAGGTGACGTTTTAGTGATGGGAGGAAGCTTTGCAAATGGCCCGTGCCCCCGGCAGGCTGGGCTTCCCTAGCTCCTGTGCCTGGCGCCGGGGTCATGCCCCGCTCCTGCCTCGCCAGCCCCTCGGCCAGGAACACAACTGACCGATTGCAGCACCTCCGCTGCTAGAGGAGCCCGCTCCAGCCAGGCCGCTGGATGGCCAACGTGCTGCCTTCCAAGTGCCTTCCCCTGCAGCCATGGATGTTTGGGCTTTGGAGTCCCTTTACTCCCGTTTCACTAACGCAAATGCAGCCAGCATAATCCCCGCTCTGTTACACTGACATCCCCCTCTGCCTGGTCTAGTCACTTCCCCTGGCCGCAGGGGGGTCGAGCTCAGCTAGTCACCCCTGGGAGCATGTTCCAGCCTTCTTGGGCTTAGGAATTGCAGGCTGTATTCTCCAGGGCCCAGTTCGCTCCTTGCCTCCAGCACCCACTGTCTGGAGGCAGAGCTGGGCACATCTCTGTGGGGGGCGGAGGGAAGCACTGAGTCTCAGAGCCCTGGTCAGCAGACTGGGGCTGGTGCTATGGGGCTAAAACTACCAGTCTAGATGTGCCAGGCTCTGAACCCCACCGACTGGCCTAGCAGAAATGCCCTCCTGGGGCTGGGCGCCTGTTACCTGTACGAAGCACCTCTGCTGAATTTCCTCTGCAGTAGTGAGGCTGCCACGCCAGCTGCTGTGCAGCCAGGAACCTGTCCTCCCTTCTCTGGAGTGTTGGCCTGTTACAGCAAGAACCCAGCCCAAGTGGAGGCAATGACTTGATCTGGACAGCTATGAAGAGTGCTTTGTGTGCTCCCCCTGTGGCTGCAGCTTGCCCAAGACGGGGACTTCAATAGCCAGCCCGGGCTGCGCTGCCTCGGCGTGTTTGTGACTCGTAACACCTGGAGAGCGCCAGGCGGCTCTGTCCTCCAAATGCCGCAGACGCATGGTTTGGCACAGCTGGGCCCTCCCGGAAGCGTTCAGCGTTGGTCTCACCCCGACAGGGGTGTGCTCTGTTGGCTAAGTAGCTACTGTCAAATCTGTTTCCGCCCCTTGTCTGCTAGCTGGCCTCTGCGCTTCTCTGCCGCTTCCAAAGCACAAGAAGCTGGTACCCTGCAGCTCTCCTCTGACTAGTGCCTACGGAAAAGGCCCTGGCTTACTCAGCAGAGCCGCCCACTGTCTGTTCGACGTCGGAGCTGCTGCCTGGGGTGAGAAAAGCATTTACTGCCTTTGACTCCCACTGGACCAGGACCACATTGTCCTTCCTCGGTGCTGGGCACGAAATTCAGTCTGTTACGCCACTGGAAGCAGCAGGCCTGCGCCGATGGCACAAAGGGCATAATGTGAAGGCAGGGGGAATTACGTGACTGGTGGTAATGGACCCTGGAGACCCTTCATTCCTGTGGCTGCTGAAGAGAAGAATCTTGCTTGATGTTCAGATCCCAGTTTGAGTTTGGGGCACTGGCAGTTAGACAAATCAGGCCCCCTGATCTGGACTCCCCACCCATAAACACGAGCCCCTCGGATGGAATCCCTCTGTGACATCCCCACCCCACTGCGGCTGTCCTGCCTGTCTTTCCAGCAGTGCCACTCAGGTAGGGAGCAAGGAGGGAAGGAGAGGATGGAGCTGACGCTATTAGTATTTATCATGTATTTCCTCTCACGTGGTGGAGCTGGCGTAGCAGTGTGTGCTTGGGAGGGGGAAGGCAGCGCGAAGGAACTAGCCTTGTCTCTGGCGATCCAGCCCCCCTTTACCACTGCCCTGGGCTCAACTTGATAACGGTGGAGTTGTGATTTCTAATGCAGGGTGCCAAATAAACCAAACCCCACTGTGTGGTGAGGGGTCGTTCCCTGTATCGGCGCTTTCCTTTCTGCCATAGCCAGGGTGCTTGACTTAGCCCCAAGCATGTGTGACTAGCCCAGTGGCTGCAGGTGATGACCCCAGCTGGTCCCAGTGCAGCATTGGAGCTGAGGCCCGGGAATACCAAGGTCTGCAGGGCAAACTCCCTCCTGCCCCACCTCCTGGCCAGTGCTTTAACCCTCTGCATGAGTTGCCCAGATTAGGCATCAGATCCCATGTCTGCCCTGGTGAGAGTTCATGGTTCTTGTTGAGGGACCTGCCTGCGGCCTGCAACAGCCACTGCTGATGGCTCAAAGGAGCATTGTCCCTGGGGAGAGGCTCTGAGGGGACTGACCCTCCTTGCTGTGCTGTTTGCTAGGCCAGAGCGGAGGGTTGGGGGAGATGGACCTGCTCACCTGTTAACGCTGGGAAGTCCCATTCAAGCCCACCTATGTAACGAATGGTCTGTTTCTACCCCCAGCTGGTCCCCCAAGCAGGTCTAGGGGTTCAGATCTGTGGTCCGTGATGAACGTGACTGATGCCAGCTCTGGGCTGAGCGACACAGTGGTTGACCATTGAAAGCCATGCCTTCCCGACCGTCACTCCTTCCCCTTGGGCAGGAGCACGGCCCAGCAGCTGTGCTTTTCTGATCGTACCCTTCTGCACACAAGCCCCCGTCTACTTCAGGTGTGCACAGCTGGGTGCCGAGCGAGGTGGGGGACCAAGGAAACCACTGGACACGCCCCGCTGGGCAGGTGGGGATACGTTTGTTTTTTAACAGTACAGAAAGCTGCTACACAACCAATGAAAAGTACAGGACAAGGGCAGAACAGTTCAACAGCTGGAGGGTGCAGTGCATGTGTCCTGGATGCCTGGAGCTGCCTCAAGACTTAGATTAAAACCAGCCAAGTCCTTATTGTGCCCTGCTGGCATCACAACCTAACTGCTCTTTTACTCTGGTGGCCGGGCAGCTCGGTGCCGGAGCTCCGGGGAGGAGTTTAACCAGCTCCTGCTCTGCGTGGGAGACTGTTTTTAAGGAATCCCTCCCTTGCAAGCCCCTGCATACATCAGAGTTGGAGCCTTGCTTTTCCAGGGGGCTGCTGGCACTTCGATAACTACCAGGTAGGACGCTGGAATAGCAACAGCGCCCATCTGAATGACCGCTGCAAACCAGCCCAAACTGCTACACTGGGCTCTGGAGGCTAGTGGCTCATGTGTCAGCCGAAGCCTAGCTGCACTCCAGCTGGCCTGACAATCAGGAGCAGCTCAACGGTCAGGCCATGAAATTCAGGGTGCAGCCCAGAGAACGGCCTGCTGGAACCCCCTCTCCGTGCTGCGTCTGAATTTCAGTGCAAGAGCCCAGCTGGGCTCAACAGGGCAGAAACGAGAGCTGTGGTTCTTCCCACCCCAAAGATCTGGCTCAGACTTTTCCAGATTTGGTAGAAGAGAGAGAGGGCACGGTCCAACCACCGGGGGCATTATTTGTAGGGCCCTACCAAATTCACGGCCATAAAAATGTGTCACGGACTGTGCAATCTGGTCTGTTGTGTGCTTTTACCCTCTATTATACACGGGGGAGACCAGCGTTTCTCAAATTGGGGGTCCTGACCCAAAAGGGAGTTGCGGGGGGGGGTGTTACAGTATTGCCACTCTTACTTCTACGCTGCCTTCAGCGCTGGGTGGCTGGAGAGTGGCAGGTGTTGGCTGGGCGCCCAGCTCCCCACCAGCAGCAGTGCAGAAGTAAGGGTGGCAATACCACAACCCCTCCTACAGGAACCTTGCAGCCCACCTGCAACTCCTTTATGGGTCGGGACCCCTGCAATTACAACACTGAAATGTCCGATTTAAATAGCTGACATCATGAAATGGATTGTTTTTTAAAATCCTGACTGTGAAATTGACCAAAATGGACCATGCAGTTGGTAGGGCCCTAATTATTTCACATCCCTTGACAGACGCCCCCCCCCCCCCCAGACTCTTACTAGTCTCACTTCACAATGCTGCTGTGGTGCACTAAAGATGAGCTTTGGGGAGAGCTGGACGTGATGGGTTGTGCTGGCCACCTCTGCGTTGACTCGTTTCCCTCTTGGGAACATGGCCTCCAAGCCAGGCGACCTCG